CACATAGAAACTGATGATGGTGGAAAACACCGAAACGTATTTTAATTGATAAATAGACAATAAATGACTGAAGCCCAGGAATTGATTTTGATTCGGAATTGAAACACAGTCAGGAAAGTTTGTACAATGTTATATTTAACTAATAAGAGTTTTATAAAAAAGAATCAGGGCTTCGCTGGGAACGGGGTAGTTTTTCGGACTAAAAGCGTGAAAAGCGTATTAGTTTCATGAGGGCCAAAGACACTATTGCAAAAAATCGTGCATAATATTCAACGTTTATTTTCCCCAGTACTTTATTGGAAAGTGTGGGCTGGTTACTTTTGACTTCACCGTTACAACCGAAAATTCGCCCACCGCCAATTAACATCAATTAGTATCCATCCACAAACAGTTACGCTTAAATTCCTATTAAAATCTGGTCAATCGCTGATGCATTTCGATGTCGTTTGCAAAACGAAGACATTACCATCTCCCCTCGAGCTAGCAGGTTTTTCGGCCCAATTTTCTTTATAAGCAGAGGCGAAGAAGTGGAGGACGCCCATACACAAGCCGAAATCGCTCGTGCATCAGCAAACTAGCCGTTTCTTCGTTTTGCCATTTCCACAATGAAAACTATCATTTTTCTGGTGGTTGTTGCGAGTTTCTACGGTTTGAGCAGCTGCAAGCCGCAGGAAAAGTACACGACCAAATATGACAATATTGACTTGGATGCCATCATCAGGAACGATCGACTGTTGAGGAATTACATTGATTGTGTGTTGGGGAAGAAGAAGTGCACCAAAGATGGAGAGGAATTGAAAGGTTAGTGCTAAAATATGATTTTGGTTTGGATGAAACTGGCAGGAAAATATTAACTGAGGAACTGAAAAGCGATGAACAGTCGCTTCTGCAGCCATCGCTAGTTTTTGAGGATGTTAAAAATTGCGCTGGAAGAAGAGCAACAGCTAAGTCGGAAAAACTAGTTGAATTTGTTCAATTCGGTAGCGAATGGTTGTTTTCTGTCACATTAGAGCCCGAAAAAATCAGCGCTTGATTGAGAAATATTGGATAATTTTTCCGCAAAAACTCCCAAACACCATTGTGTTTATTGTCGAAAAATATTTTGCTCAGAAATGTGCGATACTCGGGATGAATTTGGACCGAACGCTCCAGCAACA